ACTTAAAGGGGTCATATGATGTTGCTAAAAGGAACATTATTTTGTGTATTTGGTGTAATGAAATGTGTTTATGCGGTTTTAGGTTAAAAAAACACATTATTTTCCACATACTGTACATTATTGTTTCTCCTCTATGCCCCGCCTTTTTGAAACGCTTTTTACAAAGCTCATCGTTCTGAAAAGCGAGGTGTGCTGTGATTGGCCAGCTATCCAGTGCGTTGTGATTGGCCGAATTCCTCAAGCGTGTGACGGAAATGTTACGCCCCTTACCATATTGTGATGCCCTGTCCCGGCCGTAGCAACGAGACAAAAACATTAAAACCCATTATAAACGAGGCATTTGTTGCATCAAGTGGGGACATAATTACGGATTATAATGACTTATACTGTATTTTTACGCGTTGCGTTGCATCGCATCGCCAGCGGATTCGACAAAGGAGCGGCCGGCGTGCTTGCGGCAACCACATGTGACGACCCCGGGTTGGACTCCGCTTCGTCCACGGTGAAAGCCGATCCGGCGATCCACATCGCGAAGTTGATGTATTTCCTCAGCGACCAGCACGGATCAGCTCCAGGCATGACGAAGTGGATATCGTCCTCTTTTGGAAGGCCAAACAAAGTAGTTTCGCTTTCACAACAAAACACACAGCGCCTTCACGACATGGCGGCGGCGGCAACAACAATACTACAGCGAGAATAAAAGTTACGCGTTCTTTCTTTGCGTGAACATTTGGGCGGCGTTATGCAAATCTTCCCACATCGTGATGATGCGTGTTAGAATGAGCCGTTTTAGATAGGCGTAGTTGACTCTTTGTGTATTTGTTCTTATTTTTTACTGGCTGTTCACTTGTCTTTAATCATGTTTGAACTTTATTAGTTAGGTTAGTAGTTTTTGCAGTGGTATCGAAGAAGTACTAAGCTTTAAGTAATAAATGGAAAGCAAAGTTACACTGAAATATCTTTTTTTCTTGCTGGTCCAAAAAAACGATCCGATCCGTGACTCAAAAACCGTATAATTATAATTAATTTCTGTGGACACTGTGATGCTTTTCAGGATTATTTGCTAATAGAAAGTTCAAAATCATTTATTGTAAAAGTCTTTACTGTTTTTTTTTATAAATTTAATGCATCCTTGCTGAATAAATGCATTCATTTCTTACATTTCATAAAAAGTATTAACCACAGTAATATGTTATAATACTTTTAAAAGTACCATGCATAAAACACACTGCACACTATGATAAAAGTTACAGTATTATATAACCAATAAATACTAATAAATAAATACTAAAAATAAACTAATAAATATGTGCTAAAGAGCAGTATTAAATAACTAAATATTTTTCCACAAAAATGTTGTAAAATGCAGTGCAGGGACTCAAATTAAGCTTTTGTTTTTAAAACTATAATGTATTGGATTTCAGTGGTAGCTTAGGCAGTTTAGTTTTTATGCTTTATGTACAATACCTTATAAAAAACAGTGACAGTATTTTGTCATGCTACATTGTTATTTATTTTATTTTATTATAATTTTTTAAAGCCATATTACTAAAAAAAAAAAATAAAAAAAATAAAAATACACTATTGTAAAAATAACTGACCTACTGTCTTGGTACTAAAATGTAGTTACTAGCATCCCAACTTTAGTTAGTTAGTCCCCAAATATTAAATGAATATTTCATCATAAATGCATTACAACACTGTGCATGCATATATGTGCATAGAAAATGTTACCCAAATACCTGCTGATGAAAGACAAAGATAGCAAAATACTGAACATGTTTTGGGGGAAAACATTGTCTTTATGTACCTGAAACATAAGAGGTGTGGTGGCAGAAGAGAAATTGAGACTCTTGGCAGTGTGGGACTCTGGGTCGTATTTGGACATGCAGCCTTTGATGATGACAGTTTTGGCAGTGCCCTGCTCTCCTATCAAAAGCACAGCCTGAAACACATGAAGAAAATGTGAGTAGACTCCAGAGAGGGCGACCATCTGTCCTTGTGTACAGCTAATCATAGTGCTGGCAGCACAGGAAAAGTCTTGATGACAAACAAAGTAGCTGTCCATTTAAACAAGCCTCACTCAGAGGAATCAATAATGCAGCACTACATGGTGTAATTGTTGAGAACCTACACTAATAATGCTTTTATAAGACCCAGAGGCTTTTATAATACAATCTACAATTGCAGGCCAATTCACAAAGAAACAGATAACCCTATTCCACCAAAATGGTGCTTGTTCATGTGCCAGAGCCGGTGCTAATGGGTGTTCAGTCAGATTTTTGTGGACTGAATAATGAGAACTATGTATTCTAACAAACATAGCCTGTTGCAGTCTTTTTAATGCTGGTTTTGAGAACATATTTTAATATCCAAAGTAACTGAATTAGCGTCTTTATCATGCTATATGCTCCCAATTGCACATACCCTAACACATTTCTTGTCACCATTTCTTGACAATATAAAATATGTAACAGGCAGATAAATGTGACATGACAAGACATGACAAAAAGCTTTCAAAATCAAAATACACAAAATGATAAATGTGTCAGTGCTCTGACAGCAAAGGTTAACTTTGCATAAGTTTCAGAAAGCAATTAAAGTTACTGATGGCAAGCCATTCCCTGGTCCGCATTTCCAACAGGGTGTGCTTGCATCTCTCAAGTAAAAACTTGCTGTAACTCAAATTCGGCATGTTGCGTTGCGTATCACTCTAGACAGCTAATGTCAATTAGCATTATTGCTGCAAATCTGTTTCGTAAATTGCTTAATGCTCCAATTTTGAATGTTAAACAAAAGCAATGTTGAATGTAACAGCAGATAGGGACAATTATCTATGCATAATGAATACATTATGGACCTTTTCCTCATACAGTTTTATCATTTATGCTGAAGACTTGGAATCAAATGCACAAAACAGTGGACTACGACTATGAATCGGTTTATGGTGCACAGCTGTCTCACAGCAAACAAAATAATAAAAAAAAGTAGTTGATTAATTTATGAATGAATGTTCATTCAAAGTTTAGTAAAATGATGAAATCCCTCAAAAGAAGTTGCAGTCAGTTGCATGTAATCTTGCAAAAACGATGCGGTACAAGTAATCACACAGAACTTTAAATGGCGCTCACCTTGCCCTGCTTTGCAATGGTCTGGATGAGAAAGTCAGTGCGAACATTGTCTACATTGGGCACCAGTATGGAGCCATACTCTGGTATGGAGTCGGGTGGGTAAATATACTCTTCCACTCTGGTATTCCAGTGAACCCAGTGGCCTGCAAAACACACAATAGCTAAATTTCCATTGTCAGCACTCTGAATAGAGCATAATGCAAGCACCTTCATTAAAATTCCAGACCGAAAAGCCAATGTGTTCTATAATTAAATAGGGTTATTAGCTCTGGTTCCGACTCACAAGTGGAGTTTTTGGCATGAAAATGCGGGATGGGAAAGTTTATCTTATTTAGACATGAATGCTGCCAATTAGGGGTCTATTTGAATTGCAAAGTGTACAATATTTTGCAGTAACAATTCTAAATGACCTTGTGAACTAGAGACTTTTGGGTCTAAGCTATTTTGTTATATGCTTTAGCTGTAAAAACAAGTCAGCGTGGAATATACTCATAAAACCCAACAAAAACAGAATCAGTTTTAAACAAAACTTTCTTGAGTGTCAGATTTGTCTGGAGGCAGACTACAGATTCGGTATTCTCCATAAGCCTGCAAATTTGCCTCTCTATACAAAAATGTCAGAGAAACTCTGTAGCCTGCTGCTTGAATTGTACTGACAGATGGAGTAATTTCCTTGCATGTTCCTGTACAGAAGAAAAATGGTCAATTAGTGTTTCCTTGTCATTTACCTTGTCATTGGAAAAACTATAAATTTTCCAATTTATAGATCATTTTTTCCAATTTAAGGCAGATCAATGAAGGCAGAAGTTTCTATATTGATTAGTTCACCTAATTACAATTTACCTAATTACTTTAGATAAATGGAGGAGTTGTAGAAAACAGAACCATAATTGACAAAGATAAATGTATTGAGTGATAGATGCAAAAATAAAGCAAATATAACACTGGGTAGAAGGAGGTGTGCAAGTATATTAGATACCATCATTAGTGACGTAAAAGTCGAACATAGTGTCCTCGCTGTGGGGAGGGATGTTGGGAAGGTCAAGGTGAATGCTGTCATGGTGACGGAGCCATCTCTCCAACTTCATTCGATCATCCAGTTCCAATAGGGCTCCCACACTCCACATCAGAGCGAAGACATACAGACGCTCCATGTGCTCACGAGACAGCTCCCCTCCCTGCTCCTGATGGGTTACATCATCAAAGACATCATCAAAAGTCTGTCAGAGCACATAGGCCTGATAATTTATTTATTTATTTATTTTTGCACAATAAACTAAGAGAACAGATATTATGCTTAATCAAACATATCCAAACCAAAAAAAAAAAAAACAATAATATATTTGGCAAGGGTATTGTAAGCTACTTCACATGCGAGAAGGCTAGCCAATCATAACATAAAATGTCATTTAATTATACATATCACACTTGCAATAAATAAATAAATAAAAGCCTATTTATTTCTAAAGGTCAAAGAGAGAGTGATTGTGACATATGAAGCTTTGGCTAACATTGTAAGTAGATTTCAGAAGGCCAAAAAAAAAAAAAATTCTAGACTACAGTATGTCCACTTTACAATAAATATGCTTCTTTCATATAAATGAAAGAAAGGAAAAGACGCCACTGCACCAATCTGTTTTCATAAACGAATACATTTCAGGCCATGCATTTGGGAATAAATGTTTCTTTTTGACTTAACAGCCTGAAGTGTTAATATTCTTTATCGTCCTTGACAGAAATGTCACAATCATTTGCAAGTTGTATTGTTGGGGCACCATGCACACTGTGTAAAAATGAATTATTTCAAGCCTAAAGTGCTTTTGAAGGTTACAGGTCCTTTTTTTTTTATAGAGCCAGTGGGTATAATGTATATTCAGCTCATGTTTAAATGGGCCGGAATTCTCACATAATGATAGTGTGGTGACAATAGGGTTGTATAATGTGCATCTCATAGCTAAATGCTTTACGAATGTCAGTGTGAGGGATAATGCATGACATTTACTGGGAACAATTCATTCTAATCATATTCATCACTTTCAGATAAGGTGAAAATCTGCATGGGTCGAATATTCAAACTGGTCAGGAATTCATTATATTCATATCTGTAGACTGTTTTAAGCTTTTTTTTGCTTATGTTATATAATATCATAATAAGTTGACATATCTGATTTTCTTCAGCTGATCAAAAAACATCCAATATTTCAGTTTAATGACAACCACTGTCAATATAAGTAAAATATCACTGTATGAAATGCAGTGAAATCGTATTATTTTAGCAGTTTTATGGGAAACAAGACTGCTAGATGATAGGAGCGTAAAGGGTCTGGGGTTAGATAAAAATATTATAGGATATAGTGCCAAAAGATCATTACTGCAGTCCGCTAATTGGTGACCCCTAATATAAAGTGTATGTATTAACCACTGGACTACAGCTCTTTTCTTTAATGACAGAAATCGAAGTTTAAAACCCTTATTTTTGATTTACAAGATAGTAGGCAGTCTTTCATGGTTGCAAAATCTGGGTTAATGAGGACTACAGCTGTTGAATCACAACCTTGGGCTGAATGAGTCCTTGCAGCATGTTTATGCACTGCATGATGATGAAGGCCTCCAGCATGTCCATTTTATACTGCAAAGACTGAACGCTGAACCGATACAGCTCAGGAAAGGAGGAGGAGAAGAGCTCCCTCAGGACCACTCCTTCCTGAGGGGAATGGTTCTTCAGCCAGCCCTAAGAGCACACACACAAACACACAAATAAAAAACCTGTTGGGAAGAACACACAGAGAGTGGGAGACAGAAGTCCACACACAGAAATTAAATGAAGTATCCTTTAGAGCTCAAAAATAGTTTGTCCTTCTTCTCTGTCTTTCTCTGGCTCTCCCTCATTTACTCTTCTTCCATTGAACAGTTGAACACTTTGAAGTCTGTTATAAAGACAGAGCGAAATGCCTTGGGAATTTTAGACTCCATTAATTCAGAGTGGAGTAAAAGGAATAACTAGCATAACCATTGGTTTCTACTTTCGTGGTTCTGTGGATGCCTTTCTTCACTTCTATGATGCAAATGTGGAGGGATATATTTGTAGACTTTTGTTCCTCCACTGAACGTCCATTCCCCCTAAAACTTCAATACTTCAAAAAACATTCAAATTTAGCGATTTCATTCAAGTTCTGTAGAGGCAAGATTGCTTCATATGATGAAACTGATGACCAAAATCCTTATGGATTTGGATTGCCATGAGGGTGAATAAATGACAACAGAATTTAAATTTTGGTTGAACTCACCCTTTAGGTCAAACACAGAAATGTCTGAGTAAATAGACAACTTAACAGAATAGTTCACCTCAAAATTTAAATTCTTGTCATCAGTTGCTCACATTCAAATTTTAAAATCCAAGCAATATACTGGAATCTCTTTTGGTGTAGTTATCCAGTCTCTTTCACCCTTATGCCAATTCAAACCTGCGCTTTATGATGTTCAATGTGGTGTCCTTTGGCCTATTCTGACATGCACGAAACATGTAAGCATTATTGAAATTTGAAAGCTACAACAGATTTTCCACCTAAATTTTGGTCTCTTCCTCATACAAAACTACTGTTCAGAAGACCATTTTATAATCATGAATACTTGTATGATACCTTTTTTTTTGTCTTTTTTAGAGCTTTACAGTCACTTAGACTTGAAAAAGAGTTAAATGCCTCCTTTATGTTACATGGAAAGTGAACACTCAAACAATGGTGTAAATTAGGGCTGCACGATAAAGATTTACCGCTGATTACAGAACCGGCTTTCTGACAAGATGCGCATTAAATATCGCATGCGATTTATCATGCAGCCCTAGTGTAAATGAATTTTCATTATGAGTGAACTATTTCTGTTGATTTTATGCATATAAGTAATGGAAGCAAGAATCCTCTGACAGGTAATAGTTTTTTTTTTTTTTGATTACTTAAATTCAGTGCATTAAGAAGGCCAGTATGTAACAGTATGCAGTACCGGCACATCTAAATTTTAATCTTTAGTGTACCGCCACTTTTTCTTGTGCACCAGCACTTTTCCTGTGTTGCCAGTATACGACAAAGCGTCAAAGCATCAGAGTCACTGTCCGTGAGCAGCTGAAGCCCTTTTTCCAGAGTATGAAAGTGCATTTTTCGGTGATTCAATCACAAGCTGTCAGCCGAGATTCATTTATCATATATTCCATTTGGTAAATATGCATTTTGAATGCATCTCCTCTGATTTGTGTTCGGATTTCATCACACTCTACATTATTTTCACTGAGTGCGGCGAACCAACCCGAGTAACACAGCTTATGAGCGAGCATGAAAAGGGAAAACAGCTGTGATTTTTAGTGCTAATGTCATTTAAATTTAAATTAGCTGACTATCTGATAAGGAGATACTTTTTTATGTATACTACAACATGATGAGGCTAATCTCAGATTATATTATATTGTTATATTGTATTATATGCATATTATTCAAAAGAATATAATAAATGATACATATGATAATACAATATGGGGGGGTCACTCAAGAGAGTACTGGCACATTTTTCCCCACTTCAAGCACTGCTTAAATTATCTACACATACAATACCTAAAAAAAAGGATGATTCAGTACTGGTTCCTCATCACCCACCTCCAAAATAGGGCTCCAGTTAAGGACAGAAGAGCTCATAAACACCATTCCATTACGGGACACTGTGGCTGGGGAAGCGTTATCGATGTTGTGTGGCTCAAACACAATCTTGCAATTAGGGGCCATGGGGATGCGGTCACCATTGGCCAATGTCAGTGTGCGGTTATCATCCAGGACTGAGTTTAGGTTTTCAATCCATATAGCATCAACTGGCCCATCAAGGACAATCCATATGTGTTCCCCTATACACAAAAATGAAGTACAAATGAGAAATGAAACAGATACAGATACAGATACACAAAAGCATAATGATGTGGCTTCCGTCAGTCATTATGATCAATGATTGACATTTGATACCTCATGGCTGATTGCTTTGCCCATTAGTGTCTAAAGGCCTGTTTGATGTCTGAACTTGTTCATTGATTTAAAAAGCCCAGTTGATAGGCTTCAGCGTGTTTTCCCCATTTAAATAAACCATTCTCTTTCATGTGTTATACATCTCTGCCTTTTATGTAAAGGGAGGGCAAAGTATGGCCTTTGCCTGTTTGAGAGGTTTTTCAACCACTTTGGAAACCATCAGCTTTTTTACAGAACTAACCAGATCAAAAAGCCCTGAGGGGCTCTGCTGACATATATTAAAACACTTAATCCCTTAAAAATAAAAGTGTTTTTGCACATTTCAGACCAGACATGCCAAGTCTACTTAATAATTTTAATGTTCACTGCTTTACACTTTTAAGGTTACTTTGATAAAGTGCCCTCCGCTAATATTGGCACTCTTGGTAAATATGAGCAAAGGTGGCTGTGAAAATAAATCTGCATGGTTTATCCTTTTGATATTTCATTCAAAAAATTCACAAAATCCTAACCTATCACTGAAGTAAAACAATGGAAAATGTGTGTGTGTGTGTGTGTGTGTGTGGGGGGGTTGGGTCTTATTATGAAATAAATATTTTTCTCTAGTTCACTGAGACGACCATGGCAGAAGCTTCATTTTGTGCTCAGTGACACATTTTTGTGTTGATTTTGGGTCATTGTCCTGATGGAAAATCCAACCACGGCCCATTATAAGATTTCTAACAGAGGCAGTCAGGTTTAGATTTTTTATCTGTTGGTATTTGATAGAATCCATGATGCCATGTTTCTGAACAAGACGTCCAGGACCTCCGGCAGAAAAATAGGCCCACAACATTAAAGATCCAGCAATATATTTAATCGTGGGCATGGGGTACTTTTTATCCCTGTTTGAAACCCTCCTGAACAACATGTGGCGATGTAGGGGCTGTTTATTATTATTATATTTTTTTTTAGGCTTCCAACTAATCTCTGCAATTCTCCAGCTGTGATCCTTGGAGAGCCTTTAGCCTTTTTGGCTTTCAAACTCTCCTCCTCACCATGCATGAGGACGATATAGACACTCATCCTCTTCCAGGCAGATTTGTAACATCTTTAGTTGATTGGAACTTCGTAATTATTGCCTATTATTGCCCTGATTGCCCTGAATCCTGGAATTAAACCACGCCATGCTGGTTTCGTCTGGCCAGAGGAGAACTGGCCCCCCGACTGAGCCTGGTTTCACCCAAGGTTTTTTCTCCATTTCTGTCACCGATGGAGTTTTGGTTCCTTACCACTGTCACCTTTGGCTTGCTTAGTTGGGGACGCTTGACTGATTGCACAAACACTATTGGAAGAGAACTGAACTGGATGATGACATCACTGAATCATCAATGAACTGACTTTAGCTGAAAAATGACTCTGTTATTGTCTTCTTGCATCATTGACAAACTATTTTCCTGTTTAACACTGTAAAACTGCTTTGACACAACCAGTATTGTATAAAGCGCTATACAAATAAAGGTGACTTGACTTGACTGATTGTGGAAATGGGTATTTTCAAAGCTTTAGCTATTTTCTTACAGCCACTTTCTATTTTGTGAAGCTCAGAAATCTTGTTCTGCACATCAGAACTATATTCTTTGGTTTTACTCCTTGTGATGGATGATTAAGGGAATTTGGCCTATGTGTTCTCATATTTATGATCCTGTGGAACAGGAAGTCATGGCTGGACAAAAATGTAAACATGAATGGGAATATACTTCAGAGGTGTTTTAAAATTTCTAGGGGTGCCAATAATTGTGGCCAACAAGCATTGGAGAAAAACATTTATTTCAAAATGTGAATTTCCCCCCACGTTCAATTGTTTTACTTCAATGAAAATTTAGAATTTTGTGAATTTTGTTGAATGAAAGATCAAAAAGATAAATGATGCAGATTTATATTCACAGCTGCCTTTGCTCATATTTACCAAGGGTGCCAATATTAGTGGGGGGCACTGTATATGTGAATAATCTCAGGAAATACAGTTTTTAGAGCTGAAAAAAGCTTCATGCATATTCTATTCCTTTTTTTTAACAGGTGATCTACCTTTCTTTGCTCTCAGTGTTTTCCTCCAAAGAGTGGAAAAGATTCCATCAGTCCAGTCATTGGTTGCCACATCAAGTCGACCAAACATTTGAGGTGCAGTTATAGCTTTAGGGTTCATGCGCATCTCTCTGTGAGGCTGGCCACAATCTAGACACGAATTTACAGTCAAAATCAAACATTAATTAAAAACATGTAATGTTTACATTACCTATTAAATATTGATGGTAACACCATGGCCAGCTGGTTTTTGTGTCTAATATCTAATTCTCACCGGTCATGGCCTTCATCAGGGTATGAATGCAGGTTGTTTTTCCTGCTCCGCTGGGTCCTAGTGCCATCATCCCATGACGAACTCTTTGAGTCTCAAATAGCTGAATGACCTTTAACCTCCATGGTGGGTGATTGATTAGACCAGCCTCAGTTACCTAGTAGAAAAACGAAGAGATAAAAAAAAATTTTCCCTTAGTGTAATTTTGGTGTAAGTTCTAATGATCAATCAAATAAAAGTTTCAAATATAAATATATATATAT